GGGTAAGACACTAGCAGGTCAGCAGCCGCGTCCCCGCGTCTGCACCACAGACCAGGGACAGTGAATCTGGGAGATCCTCATTCAGTGCTGAGAAAACAAGGTCCAGGCCCAGCAGATACCAGGCCCCAGTGGGCAGGACACACCCCCAGCCAGACTGCCCTGGAACAGCCTGCCAGTGTCCCCAGGTGCAGCCACTGTGAGCATCCCAGGAGGTGTGGTGGCCTGGGCCACTGGATTGGCCTGTGGCTCTTACCCCCTGAGTCCAGGGTGCTCTGAAAAGAAACTCAGATGATATCACTCATCTCACTCATGATCTGAGAAAATACACACACACACACACACACACACACAGACCTGATTGTAATGCACGGAATTAAAGGGAAATCACTGATAATAAAATAATCCACGTTTCAGGTGCGAATGCCTGACCCCAGGAGGAGCCCTCCAAGACTTGCCTGGGTCATCAGGTCCCTGTGCCCACACCAACTGCAGATGGGCCCAGGAGACCTGTGGGGTTCCTGCTCAGGAAATTAGAAGCAGATTTAGAAGAAATCAGAAGCACTTATCTGAAAGCTCGGTGGGCTGTGGGCATCACTGAATGTCACTACAAAAACCCAAACTTTTCCGAATATCCAAAATGCCCCTTGGGCTGGATCCACTGGTGAAGAGCCACCTGACGTACCCCAGCGACAGCACACCCTGGGGACACGAGGAGCCTGCAGGGAGGAGTCCCTGCTCAGGACCTGGAGGCCACTGGGTGAAGCTTGCTGCCCGTCATGTGTCTGAAGGGCAGGAGAGTGGACAGGACATCCAATGGAGAGGCCAGGGCCAGGGCCTGAGCAGGAGGCCCTTGTCCCAGGCTTCAACAAGCTCTAATGACGTTTGGACACAATATTTGCATTTTTGCAAAGTGGGCTGGTGTGCTTAGAACTGCGATCCTCCCACCTCAACCTCCCGAGTAGCTGGGGCTCCAGGCCTGGGCCATGTCTGGCTTAAATGTTTTTAAAAAGCAAAATTAAATCAAAATTGAAGCAAAATACCAAGGACTAAGGGCACATCGGGGTTTCGATGAAGGTCTGGGTTCCCGACTTCCCCCCCTAGCTCCGCTCCAAGGGCCAGGCAGGGCCTTGTCGGAGCCCTGGGCTCTGGAGGCCTCTCTGGTAGAGGGATTTGTCTGCCCAGCTTGGGCTAGGGAAGGATGGGTGCTCAGAGACTCAGGACCCTCGGCAGCCCTGGACACTGGTCAGGGTGTGGCTTTTGCTGCCGGCTGGGTCAATGTCTGGCTGACCCAGAGCCCAGGAGGCTTGGGGAGGAGGGGGCCGAGCTGGGTTCCGACAACAGCAGGGACCGGCTAGACCACCGGAGACTTGGCCTCACGACCCTCTATGGGGTTCCGCGAGTGAGGATGTCAATAACCCTGCAAACCACCTGTGGCTCCGGCCTTGTGGAAGCTTCTCAGGTGCCTGTGCAGGGCGGGGGCCGCAGGCTCCTGGCTCCTTGAGGCCTCGCAGAGGTGGGGCCTGCCACCTGGCCCTCCTCCCCAAACGCCTTTAGCTTTGCCGCCTTGAGCTTCTCTCTCTCCAGGGCGTCCCCCACCACCCTGCAGGACTGAGCTGAGTCCACTCTGGGGGCGGGCAGCCGCTTTCTCGACCTCTCCTGTGCCGGGCCTTCTCAGGTGTGTTCCCTGCGGCCGGGCAGCTCAGGTGCTGGAGCTCAGGTGGCCCCATCACAGATGGGGAGGCCCGGGGTGGAGGGCCGAGTCGCTTGGCCGACCTCTTGCTCGCTCCAGCCCTCCCCCACTTGGCTCTGACACCCCCTCCTTCAGGGCGAGACCTCCCCGTGCCCTCTCCCTGTCACCGGCCGGTGACGCCCGCCTAGTTCGTCTGGGGGGGATGGCCGCTGGCCCTGCGCGGAGCTTATTGCATTTGGTGTGAGCAGCTCCGATTCGCGGGTTATTGGCTCATTTTTCATTTTGCATCTGTAGTAACCAGACTTGGAAATGGAAAGTCGCGAGATGCCTGACTGTGATGGAAGAGGGTCGCCGTGACACCCAGATCCGAGAGGGTGGTGGGAAGGCAGCTGAGCCAGGAGGCCGGAGTCCAGCTGGAGCCTCCGCCTCCCAGGGGCGTGGAGAGGGAGGCCCACCCTGCAGAGGGCTTGGCAGCACTGTGTGTCTCTGAGGCCCAGGGCGGCTCTGCAGCCCGGTTCTGGGACCCCCTCAGGAAACAGATGGGAGGAGGAGGCGCAGGATGGCTGCCTGGAGGGGGCTCCCCTCTTGCACAGAACCCCCAGTGTTTTAGTTCTGCAGTGACCCCTGCAACACACCCGAGCCTGTCTCGGGGGGCTGGTGGGGTCCTCAGAGGCCTCCCCCTTGGGATGAGCAGGTATCACAGTGAGTACTGGTCACTGCCCAGTCTTAGAAGCCCGAGTGACCAGTAGAAAGTCACAGAAAACTAAGGGGCAGGGCTGGGGCTCCCATTTGGGGTCTGGACCCCTGCCTGGACCTCCAATCCAGTGTCCAGTCCTCACCCAACCCACGCCACCTGCTCCAGGGCTCTGTGGGGACCTGGGGCTGGGAGGTCAGGCCCTGCAGCCACAATCCAGTAGAGAGATTGACCATGAACTCCAACATGACTCAGGGCCTTGGGGAGAGACTGGCTCTCTAGGAAGATGACCCAGGGATGGGCACGGTGGTCAGGGGTCTGCTCTGTGGAGCTGGGCCGGGCCCAGGGCGGGACTTTCCCAGTGGTCTCCGAGGTCCCAGGACTCCTCATAATGGAGCCGGTGCCGGGAGCCAGTGTGGCTCTGATGGCCAGGCCTGAGGTGGTGGCCTGTCCAGGATCGGTCCTTCACCACCAGATCCTTGTCAGGGGCTCGGGCACCAGGGGCAGGTGGACACCCACTCCTCACAGTGGGGGCCACCTTTGCACCTTTCCATTTTTCTGTGGATCTAAAGCAGCTCTTTAGGAAATCGTCTTGAAAAACTAACAAACCCCTCCCTGAACCCTGACATGGAGATGCTCTGGCACCTGCTCCCGTCCCCCTGGCGAGGAGTTGCGGTGAGGGTGAAGGATGGCAGGGCTTTCCGTGGTGTGTCTGTTTCCAGGAGCAGCAACACCCTCAGGGTGCGTCTGCATTGGAAGGCTTTGGGTCCCTTGGCAGCATTCCCTGACAGTTGGGTGAGGTGCTGAGGCTGCGAGGCCCAGCGGACACTGACCGCCCCGCAGGGTGCAGCCCCCACCCGGAGCCCTGCAGCCCCGCGGCCACTGACCCTGCTGTGCCTGGCCGGCTCCCTCTTGCTTCCTTCCCTGGCCCTGGCTTCTGTGTTGACACTGTTGCTCACCGTGCACAGAGGACGTGTCCACGTGGCAGAGACAAAGGTCCCCGGTTCTTCTGATCTTTTTTTCCTAGTGGGCAAAAGCGCAGGAGGGCAGGCCCGGGAGTGACCGGTCAGCAAGGACACTAGGGGGACGGGATGCCCAGAAAAGGAGCCCAGGATCAACGTCACCGGCAGCCATGTGGCAGGTCCAGGTGGGATTTGGGGTGGGAAGTCAGGGTGTCCAGAGCTTAGGAGAGGCCGCCTGCGGGTCCAGCGTGGCTGAGAGCATGTCCTTCTAGGGGTCCCAGGCTGCTAAGCCCCTCCTCTAAGTGACCTCCATCCCACCAGCCCTCCCAGCACCCCCACCCCGCCTGAGGGCCAGCCTCACCGGCCTCTCCTACTGCGTCACTGCCACTGGCCCCTGGCTCCAGCAGCTACTGACACACCGTGAGACTGGCACTGCCCAGCACTGAGGGCTGACCGGGGCCCGGGGTCCGGGTCTGGCTCAGGGCGTCCGTGAGTCATGCAGGTCGGGATGGAATTCCTTCCTTAGGAGTCGTTTTCACCGAGGGGAAAGCCACGGACTCTAAAGGCAGTCACTTCCCGCTCCTGGGGTCGGTGGCCCTTAGAGCACACGGTGCCGTACAGCCACCTCCTCACGTAGCTTCCCCCCAGAACCCGCCCCGTGGGACAGACAGTCCTCAGTGTCCCTCTCCCGTGCCCAGAAGCCACGTCTGCTCACCACACGCCTCGTGGCCCCTGCGTCTGGCTTCTGCCATGAGGGAGGCTGATTCCGGCTTCCCTGTGCTGTGGCCTGTCCGAGGTCCCTCCCTCTGGATGGACCACCCTGAGGTGTCCCCTCATCTATTGAGGGATGCTGGACGGCTTCCCTCTTCCGTCACCATGGTCAGTGCTACTGGGAGCCTGCGTGGACCTGGGGTGTTTGGGTTGCTGTCGTCAGTTCTTTGGGGTGTCTACCTCGGGGTGGACTTGCTGGGTCTATGGCAATGCTTTGCCTAGTCTTGTGAGGAGCTGCCAATCCTTCTCCTCAGTGTCTTCTTTATGGCATTGAGTCTCGTGCACCAGACCTTGTAGTGTCCACACCGACCTTAAGCAGGTGGCGACATGGTTCCCATTTGAGGGTTGGGGAGACGGAGGTGCCCGTGGTCAATGGCACCAGGTAAGAGCTTCAGGACATCGGTTCTCCAATTCTCAGTCTTGCCTGTCCCTGGAGCCCCTCGGAGCCCTCCTCCTCCCAAGGCCTGGGCAGGGCTGTCACTGGGCGCAGAGCTCAGTGGTGGCTTCGAGCTCATGTCCTGTTTCTCCGTGGGCCCCTGGCCGTCACATGGTGGGTCACGACTCTTGGTGGCCTCCACCAGGTCTGGCTGGTTCCGAGCCGTGGCCTTGGCCTGGATAGATGGTTCTTGGCAGCTGCCACAGGCCCAGACCTGCTGCTGTGTGGATGGACTGTGGGGTGGCCGCGCTCATGGCCTCTCTGAGGTCCAGAGGAGGCCAGTGTGTGAAGGAGGTGCTGCCCAAGCCTCCATCGCGCTTCTGAAAGAGGCATCCCCCCACCCTCCGCCACCGCCAGCAGAGCAGCTGCTAACTCTACAGTAAGCGGGAAAAATAGAGGGAGACGTGGGGCAGGCGATAGCCGCGTGGACCACAGTTATCAGTCTGATTTCAACTGGGACTATAAAACTTTATGAGCTATTAAATTGTCCTAAACCTCCCTTAACACACAAACTTGAGTGTCTGCGATTACCCGTTAAGCAAACCCGGGTCGCGTGGGGAGCGCCTGGATGCCGGCTCCGGGGGGGTTCCATCGACACAACTTTTAACCAGTGTGTTGCTTTTTGCAGAAGTGGGAGCTGCCACGGGTGGCCAGGTGGCCGTTCGGGATGTGTCCCTGAGCTTAGCCAGAGCTGCACAGTAGGGCTTGCCCATGGGCTGGCTCCCCTCTGCACCTTCTGGAAGCTTCTGCCTCTTATCTGGGGCTCCATGTGAGGAGGTGCATTGAGCTGGAAGCAGGGTTCAGAGACCAGTGCTCGAGACCAAGGGCGCGGAGCCGGGGTGTCCCTGAGAGACCTGTCCGCAGCCGCCCCCTGAGGGCAGCTGTGGAGGGTGCAGCGTGTGCAGGAAAGGCTGGGGCTGGTGTGCAGGGCGCAGGCTGCGGACCCTCCTGCGGGCAGCGGTGCTGCTGCTCTCGGTGTTCGGAGCGCCCTGTCAAACGCCCATCAACTCTGCCTGTTCACGACCAGGCACAAGCTCCAGGGGGCACCTGCTGTCCAGGGCACTGGCCCATCTCTGGACACCTGTGGGACGAGGGTTCCACAGCCTGGGATGAAGCGGGGCAAGGAAGGCCAGGGCTGAGTGGAGCCCCAGAGGCACTGGACGGTGCTGCCCAACAGGAGGGTGGGCCACAGGGCCCGCTGGGGTCAGGTGGGTGGGAAGTCTCCTGACGCTGACCGTGCTTTCCGGACACTGGCAGACCAGAGGCATCCGGGGTGTCCCTTCTGAGGAGGCCCAGGCTGTGGCACTTCGTCTGGCTGGTCTGCACCCTAGGGCTACCCTGTGCCGGGTCATGGCCCACCAGGCTGGGTGACCGGGGCTGGGCTGGTCAGGCCTGAGGCAGGAGGTGCTGCCCTGCTGAGTGGGGAAGGAGATGGGGGTCACAGCGTGGCTCTTTCTCAGGCCAAGGGGAATGGCTGCTGAAAACAGGTTCAGGGCTGTGGTCCCTGCCGAGCCCTCCGCCTCCCCAGCCTCGGCCCTCTCCCCTGCAGATGGACAGTGAGACAGGCTTCGGTGGCGGTGGCGGGGGGAGCTCAGATCTCTCTGGCCTCTAGAGGGGTGCTTGGTCAAGGGCGGCTTCCCCCAGCAGGTTCTGACGTGGCAGGCGAAGGCGGCTTGGCTTTGCTCTGCTGGGAGAGGAGAAAGTGGGTCGGGGTGCTCAGGGGTGACTCGTCCATGTCGTGGCCAGGAGGCGAGGCCAAGGCATCCAAGGCCTGACTGGGACATGGGCTGAAGGGACATCCCCGAGGCCAGAGCTGAGCTGGGAACACGTTGGGTTGGGGCCCTTCTTGCTCCCCAGGGACCACCACGAGGCAGGGAATGGTGGGAGCCCCTGCTCAGGGCAGGAGCCTGGAGTGCAGCCTGTCCCCCAGCCCCCAGGGTGGGGCGGGCTTGGGGCTTCCCTGCTTCCTGGAGGCCAGCGGGGGACAGCCCTGGGACCCTTCCAGGAAGGACCTGAGCCAGCCCTGCCTCCCGGGCTGCCTTCTGCCCCCTGGCCCAGAGAAGCCTGCCTCCCTCTGGCTCCGCGGGGTCCTTCCCCACCCTCAGGAGCTCCGGGTGGCCAGGGGCGGGGCTGCAGGGCAGGCGCCGGAATTCAAACCCTTGCCACAGACCCGTTGGGCAATTCCTGTGGGGAGCCGCTGTCTGCAGGGAGCTCCGGTGGCGTCCAGTGTTTGGACGAGTGGCGACGCGCTTCCCCGGGGTGTTTATGTGGCCTGCCCCAGAGCTTTCCCCAGGCCTGCTGTTCCCCTGCCCCGTGCTCTGTGAGGGAGGGGACGGCTGGGTCAGCGCAGGCTTCCAGCTGGGCTCCGGGGCCCAGGGCTGGAGGGTGTCAGTGCGCAGAGCGGGGACAGCAGGCGGCCTGTGTGGAGCGCTCTGCCAGACGCCAATTAGCCTGGTATGTGGGACCCGGCCTCCGCCGGCCTGGTGACAGGATTGGGGGACCGAGCCCAGACCCCTCTCTGCCCTCACAGACAACTCTGCAGTCCCACGACCCAGGGATGTGGGGTCAGAGGCACTCAGCCCCTCTCAGCCTCTGCCTTGGGGGAGGGGTTTGGCCCTTCGGTCCAGATGCTGGGATCTCAACCCAGCCTGCCGCCGCCTATCGGGGGACTGGCCAGGTCACAGTCCCTAGGGACTGGGTGAGTTTGGAGGGGTCTGAGGTCTCTGTTGGCTCTGAGACTCCGTGTCTCTGGCAGCAGGTGGCTTCCGGAAACTCCAGGTACACAGAGATGTGTGTCGATGAAGAGTCACCCAGACCCCCTTCCTTGGTGAGGTGGGAGGACAGCGTGCTGGCCACACCATACCTCAAGGCCCAGGGCACTTGAAGCTCTCTGCTCTGGTGGTGGAGGGGACATTCAGCAGCTTGCTCCTGGGGCACCAGTGCTGTAGATGCTGACCCACAGAAGTTTCTGAGAAAAGGGTCTGGGGTCTGAGGTCTTGGCGTGCAGGATCATGCACCCTATCCGCACGGAGGGACTGGAGCTGTAAGCATCGTGCCCAGGGCGTGCCAAGCAACACTGCGTTCTCACATGAGCATGACCCTGGAGCCCAGCGTGGGCAGGGCCCGGAGACCCCCTTGGGTGGGGCTACAGCACCTTCCTGGGTGGGCTGGGGCTGCTGGGCTGGGAGTGCCCATGTCATTCCCCGGTCTTTGCGGGAGCACCTGTTGGTGGGAGAGGCATGAGGCTTACTAGGGCTGATGTGGGGGGATCTGGAGGTGCACTTACCAGGGCCCTCCAGGGCCAGGGTGCTGTGGGCCCACTGTGGGCCCAGCCCTGCCTGGGGTGACCAGTCTGTGAGAGGACACGTTGGCCTGGCTGAGATTGGGTCCCGCTGCTGCCTTGGTAGAGTCTGCTGGGGCCTTCACCCCGCCCTGTCTAGGGGGACAGAGGGGCCTTCGCTGCCGTCCTGGGAGGGGTGGCAGCCACGTGGCAGACTTTGCAGGGGCCGAGACTGGCACTGTTACCGCTGTCCCCAGCCTTTCCAGGGTGGAGGGCTGGGGACAGCTCAGGCCACGCTGCCCACCCACTCCTGGTTGCTTGCTGCCTGATGGTCCCTGAGGTAGGGCTGCTAGACCCAGCGGCGGTGAGTCCCCTTCTCCCTAGTACTTCAGGAAGGGGACTCGTCTGGCCTTGTGGTGTCCGAGTGGTTGGGGCTGACCGGCGGCCAGGGCCTCAGCCCTGCCAGGGAGTCCCCCTTCACCCGCCCCCTGGAGCCTGAGGGGTGGACAGCCTGGCTTCCCTGGCATTGGCTGGCCCCTCAGTGAGCTCTGTGACACCCATTTCCCAAGCGGGCTGCCTCCTGCTGTGTCCAGAGGGGAGGATGTTCCTCTGCCTGCAGGGGCCGCCCTGGGCTTTGGGCAGGGTCCAGGAATTGTCCGGTCCCTGCTGCCTGGCTTCCCTGCAGATCTGAGGACAGAAGCCAGCTCTGGCTGGGCAGGACTGGCCTTGCTGTCAGGCCGGCACAGGACATCCTGGGTTGCCCCTTCCTCACGGGGCCTCGGAGGCATGCAGGTCCTGTCCCGGGTGTCCGGGTTCTTCTGCCCCCTGGGCTTGCTCATGGGTGGGGCATTGGCTGAACACCACTGTGTCCTGCTGCTGTTCCGGTCCAGTGCTGACCAGCACGGCCTGCCCTGCTCCCCCCGGTCAGCCTGCTGCCGCCTCGCTGCCTTTGGTGCCTGTCCTGGGTCAGGGATGGCTTGGCAGCATGCCCCTGGCGCTCAGTGCCCGGTCCTGGGCCTGGCAGGCGCCACAGAGAGGCTCGTGGGGTTGTGGAGTGGGCTTTGGTGATGCTGGGGATGCTGCAGCTCCTTGACCCTGCGGCCGGGTGGGAAAGGCCAGTGCAGAGTGGGCCGGGAGAGGTTCCAGCGCCTTGGCTGGCCGCATGGGGCACACACCCAACCTCACTACCAGCCTGTCCTGTCTTACGGTGACACAACCCAGCCCCGAGGTTAGACGACCTCCCTGCCTGGCCTCGGTGCCACCTGGAGGCCACACCCCCGGCTCTGGGCTGATCCCAGTGGGACTTCTTACGCCCTCTGCACCATCATTACAGTGAAGATCAGTCCTAGATGAGCTAAGAGACCTGTGACAGGTCCACCCCATGGGGGCACTCGCCTGGCTCCCTGGCTCTGCAGATGTCTTTTCCTCAGTCACCAGGTCCCCACACTCCCCTGACCCTTAATTAACTCTCGGGGGAGCTGGGCTCCTGTTTCCTTCCTGTCCTGGGCTGGGGTGGTTCTGCAGCTTGGGCCAAGTGTCTCCCGAGCGGGGCCCCAGGAGGGACCGGGTGGGCGGGAGCTGCTGTGCCCACACACGTGTGCTTCCTGTCTGCACACAGGACAGCCCTGCACTGCTGCACCCACAGGCCTTGACCTGCCCGTGCGCACGCTCGGAGGTGCCTGTATACACACCCCTTGCCGGCTTGCACACATGCGCCCACGCACGCGCCCACGCACGCACACGCGCAGGAAGATGCACAGCTGGACCCCCCAGCGGCTTTGCCCTGGGCTGGCGTGGGCGGCCCTGGGCACCCTGCCTCCAGCTGCCACCCCTCCCAGGCAGCTGGGAGCCTGCTTTTGCAATTCTTGCATTTATATCATGGTCCTTTATATCGACAGAAGCTTTCAAAACACTTTAGGCTTGTTTACCGAGCTGTGCAAGAACATTTTGTCTCCTCTCCAACTCAGCCTTCCAGAGCCATCAGGAACGTGCCCGTCCCTGAGCTGGCCAGCAGCAGCCCCCAGCTTCTTAAAGGGCCATCCTCAGAGAGGATGGTCGGGGCTTGGACAGAGGCCGGCTGGCCAGCTCTTGCTGCTGACCCTGGACACAGGGTCCCTGGTGACATGAAGTATTGCAGGTGGAGCCTGGGAACCAGCCCGCGGGGACTCAGGCACTGCCTTCTGACTGGCAGGCTGAGAAGTGGCCGGGCCCATCGTCCTTACCCTGGACCCTAGCTTTGGTGGGATGCCCTGCTGGGCACGCCCCTCTCCTCCATGCCCCGAGACAAGGTCACAATAAAGGGAACAGTGAGACTTCCTGTTCCCATCTGTTGAGGTTCTGGGCTGTGCCCTGCACGGTGTCTCCATTAGGTAGAGGCTGGCAGCCTCCTCCAGGGAGCACAAGCCCCGTTGGCCAGGGCCAGGGTCAGCGGTGTTCCCTGTAGCCAGGCTTCCAGAGGAGGTGGTGGAGTGAGCATCCCACAGGGGATGGGCTGGCCACTGGCCCTCGGTGCTGAGGTCTCGGTGTTTGCTGGAAGCACAGAACTGCCCCACGGAGTGGGGCAGCCCCCTTGACACCCAGCCCCTCCACTTCCCCTGTGGCTGGAAATTTGGAGAAGTGCCCTTGGTCTTGGTTCCTTCCCTGGCTTCTTCCTGTAGCCTCTTCCTCTGCCGGTGACCCCCAGCCTCCTCCAAATTCCAGCCTTCACAGGGACTGTTCTTTCATGTCCAGCACCCCATCAGCAAGGCCACTGAGTGCCCCCTGCCTGTCTTTCACCCCTCCACTTGCCCGGCCCAGGCCCTGCTGCCTCCTGAGATCATGGCCTCTGTGGGCACCAGCTGGGGGTCTTGGAAGGCACTGCTGCACCATGCACAACTTCAAGCACATGAAGATCAAGTCCACCTGAGTCCTGCAAAGCTGGGATCTGTGCTAGGACACACACATGCTGGGGAGATGAGAAAGTAAAGGTAATCCCAGAGGCAAGGTCGAATACAGAAGCAAGCAGAGTGGAGTGGCCACAGAGCTGGCCTTGGGTGCAGCATTGAGCCTCCTAGCAGCCAGGGCAATAAGGGAAATGTGACTGAAGAGGCATTCTCCCTGTTTAGAAAGGAAGTCTTTTGACATTATTTGTCACAGGGTTCTTATTCCAGGCCCAGAAGGGAATGCATTCTGGGAAAGATGCAGCCCAGACTCCTCCCAGGGTTCTCATTTAAGTGATAGTTTCTGGGACCTGCTGAGGGCTCAAGCTGGGAGTGGCTGCATTTCTGCAGAGGAGGGGACCCTGAGGCCACCAAGGTGATGCTCAGGAGAGTGGGGGTCAGAGGACAGGATACATGGAGGCAGATGAACGTGTGAGCAGACCACAGCAGTCACTGTGGGCACTGGCCCTCCAGAGGCTACTGTAGGGACCTGGGTCCCTTATGGGAGGCATGTGGGAGGGCAGCTGGCAGTGCAGTGGCCCAGCCTGGACATGCAGCTGGCCTCTGGGAGGCTTGGGTAAGGCCCATCCATGGGCCTCTGGATCTCTGACCCCTGCCCTGCTCTACAAATGGGAGGGTGTTCCCTTCTCACTGGACCAGCTCGGGCCTGGGGAACTGGGCACAGCTTGCCCAGTGGCCTCCCTCCACCCCTCACCCGCCATCAACTCTCAGAGGCTTGGTGCTGCTCCTTGGAGGAGACTGGCCCTGCCAGTCACGACACAAAAAGCAAGCTGGCAGTGTGCGGCAGGGACCAGGGACGGCTGTGGACTGAGGGCCCAGGCGCTAGGCAGGACTGGGCACCAAACCAGGGGTGGGGGCCCAGGGCCCTCCCTTGCCCCACAGGAAGGGCCAGGAGCCTCCCCTAGCAGCTGGAAAGGGGCTCGGACCCTTCCCCCACCTGCTGTGGCTGCAGGGACAAAGGGCTGAGCCTTGTCTCCTCGGAGGAGGCCCCACCCCAGGCCTCGGGACCCACGGCCTCTCCTCCCTTCCCTTCCACCAGCCCTTTCAGAAAACCCGGGTCCCCCTGAGACCCCCAGTGGGTGGCCTCTCCTCTTCACAGCTGAGCAGCCTGTGGACCCACACGGGACAGTGCGGCGCAGCCCCCACCCCAGCAGGCAGCCTGGACCGGCCAGGCCCAGCCCCTCCTGTACCCCGGGTTTGGTAGGACGCTTCCCCAGCTGCGGCTGGAGACTCTGTCTGCCTGACTGAGGGCCCTGGCCCCGGAGACCCTGAGGTCTGTGCTTGTGTGCTGTGTGCTTGCTGACTTGGTTCCTGTCCCCCTACCAGACCATCTCTGGGCTCCTCCTGCCCCTCTGGAGTGCCCGGCTCCGCTGCTCCTGTCCTGGAGCAGGGGCTGCCCAGCCGGGCCAGGCCCAGTCACTGCCTGCGCTCTGAGGCTCAGCAGCAGAGGCTGCTCGGGGGCGGGGCCTGCCCATGCCCACAGAGCCCGCAGCACTGGGCCCGGCCTGGCAGTGGCCGAGAGCTCCAGCAGAGTGAGGACAAGGGTCAGTCTGTCGGTTGGTTGGCAGACGTGTGGCCCTGGGGAAGTGGCCACCTCCTGTGTTGGTTTTCTCATTGGAAAGGGGAACAGAGGCTTTCTGGGTAGCGAGCGTCCATGATGGGGCTCCACTGACCTGGCCACTTTCCTGCTGGGCAGCCAGGCAACCGCTCTCCCTCCAGGGGCAGGGCAGGAGAGGGAGGGGATAGCGCTCAGAGTGCACTTCTCTTCTGTCCCCGTCACTGGGGTTCTGAGTCCAGGGCCAGCCTGGGAGGGGCGGGCAGTGCTGCCCGGCCCAGGGTTCACACCAGCACAGCTGGGTGTCCCCCTGCTGCCAGGTGGCAGGGTCCTCCCTTTCTGAGCGGTCAGGGCCTTCTCTCAGGTGCAGAGCTCTGGAGGGGAGGCTGAGCTCCAGAGCCAGCCTTTGGGTCCCTTCGGGGCCTCCTGGCTCATCCGCTCTCTGTGCTCCTCAGGGAGAGGCACCCTGCTGGGCGGGGGCTGCTCTGGTCACTGGTGAGTGGCTCTGTCCCCTCTGGCCTGGCTCAGCCTGTGAAAGTGCAGGGTAGGGGTGGCCAGAGGGACAGCTGGGAGGGAGCAAACACTGACCCCTGCATGGACCCCCACTCATGACCTTCAGCTCCTAGTGGTCACTCACCCTTGGCTTCCCCTCTTCTAGCCCTTCCCCACCCAGCACCAGAGGACAGGAGGACTGTTCTAGAGCAGATCTGGCCGCCTCCTTCAGGGCTATGTGGTTCTCCTTCTCTCCTGTCATGTGGCGGCGTCTGGAGGCCTCGAGGGCCCCGGCAGTGCCAATGTCCTCCTCACTCCTGCCCAAGGAGCTCCCCTGTGCACCCCGGACCCCCCCACTGGCACCATGACATGGAAGCCCTGTCCCTGGCTCCCCTGTTCCTGACGTAGGGCTGGCCTGTCCCTCCTCCCTAAGGCTGGCCGCCTCTGGCCTCCTGGTGCCGAGGGATTCTGCTTTCACTCCTTGCCTTGTGTATGGTGAGCCCCTGGGCCTGGACCTCAGCCCAGCATGTCCTGGGCCATCAGGTCTGTGGTCACCGGGCCTGGTGCTATGGCCAGGTGTCTGCCTTCTGTCCAGTGTCTAGGAATCACTCATGGTCCTCTCAGCAGCCTTTGCATGTCCTGCGGCTGGTGTCCTTGACCTCGATTCCTGTGCCGGTGCCTGGGTGGTCTGCTCCGGGCTGCTCTTCCTCTCTGGGGCCTCCTCCTGCTGCTCTGTGCTCCCCGCTGGGCCTGGGCCTGGGCCTGGGCTGGGGGTCCGGGCTGCCTGAGTGCCCCCAGGAATGGGCACTGTGGGTTTCAGAGTCAGCAGGGCCGAGTGTGGGTCCCTGCCCCCCTTTCTTGGCCACTCGCTGCCCTGGAATTGTGGCCCTGTCCTGTCCCCCAGTCCCTGCCCCTAGTTAACTCCCCTCCTCTGTGTGGTCCCTCCTGGAGATCCTCTCCCTACTGGGCACTGCCTGGTGCTCTGGACACCCCCCCTGCAGTCTGAACAGGGCCCCCGCCGGGACCCCACTGGAAACAGGATAGTGGTCTGTCTTGGCCAAGGGGGCAGTGTGCTCCCTGCTGGCCTGGGAGCTGCTTGGAGGTGCAGGCCGGGGGAGGGGCACATCAGCTCTTTGCCAGGGGTGGTCTAGGTGATGGGATGGAGACCATTGAGAATGAGTGACAGTGACCTTCCTCAAAGCCAGGTGCACTCAGGCCTCGAGGCTGGCCTCCACCTGGCCTTGGGGATCCTCCCTGGGCAGCAAGGCTTTTGTGCCCACTGAAGAGTAGGTAAGCCAAGGCCAGGAAGGGCAGAGGCAAGGCTGAGCTCCTGGCAGACTCGGGAGAGGGTCCCGGCGGCAGCCATGCTCACCTGGCTTGGGGTGTAGGTCCCCAGGCTGTGTCTGAGGATGAGTCACCCGCCCATGCCTGGGGCCAAGTTGGCTGCACACCTCCTGGCCTGGGCTGGACCCCAGAAGCCGCTGCTTCTGCAGAACACGTTTGGGCTGCAGGGTCCCAAGGAGCTGTGTCCAGGGACTGGAGGTGGCCTCCACCTGGCCTTGACTGACCTTTTCTTCTCAGTGCACCTCCCTGGGATTTCATGCCCAGGGGAGATGGCACGGGAAAAATCATCTCCTTGGCCTGTTCTGACTTTCCCACCCAATGCTTGGCAGAATGGGCTCTGCCCAGGCCTCAGGGCCCCTTGGTCATTTACCTGAGAGACTGAAAACTCTGGCTTGTGCCCGAAGAAAATGAGGGGTCACACTCTTCCTTGGAGATGACCTCTGTGTCAGGTGGCCTGTGGGTTGGTCCTGGGCTCTCCCTACCCAGCACCCAGTGTTGGATTCGTTCTCGGCTGAGTGGCAGGTCACTTAGGGGCCTCGGCTTCCTCACCAGTAAAAGGGAGAGTCACACCCACTCCATGTGGTGATGCCTGGGTTGGAATAGCCCACACTGAGCTGGGCACCCAGGGCTACGCCGTAGGGGGCCCGCGGCATCACCAGACCCCAATCCCCACTTGCCCACGGAATTCTACACAGAACAGCTGACCGGCTCCATGGCCAGAGAGCAGAAATGGCCCAAGGATGAAGGGTGATGACCATTCAGCAGGCGGCCTTGCTGGTCAGTGTCTGCATGGGAGCTGACCACTGTCCATGTGTGGTCTTGGCCACTGCAGAATAAGTCAACCAGCCACGAGCACCATTGGGAGTCTCATAAGAGAGCCGGTGCCCAGAGTGGGCTCTGCAGGGAGCTGACCCCACTGATGAGACTGGCTGCCACCTCTTGTCTGAGGACAGGACACCATGCACCCCTGATCCAATGGAACCAGAAGGAAACGCCGCCTCTTGTCCTCTGAGCCCACCACCTGGGCTAAATGCACGGAACGCAGCAGACACTGCCTGACAGGAATGTTCTACAGAATCCTGCGCCACGCACCCAACACGGCCGTGGTCACAAGGCACTGAAGTCTGAGAAGTTCCACAGCCAGGAGCCCCAGGGACACAGCAAGGAAAGCACCCCGAAGGAGGGTGCAGGTGAGGGCTAAGGAGACCCAGTAAAGGACGGACGTGGACTCACAGCCATGTGTCGCTAGTGGTTGGCCGTGTCTCATGAGTGCCCTGCCAGCCCAAGGTGGCACAAGGGGACCTGGGCTCTGGGGATGCAGGATCTTTCTGTGCTTGCTATCTTCTAAGTTTTGCTGTGAACCTTAAATTGTTCCAATAAATAAAACTCATGAAGAAAAAGGAGATTCTGGGCTAAGCACATTGGGGCACTGGGGTGCTACCAGCCCCCGGTCACTCTGTGGTCACTGTTGGGCCAAGGCCCATGCAGTGTAGCTCAGGCTGAGATGCTTCACCTACGGCTTGCCACCCGCGTGGCCCGTCCAGTGCCTCTCAGTGTGTGACATCTAGGGGCTGTCTCAGAGGCTGAGCCCTGGGCAAGATGCTGGAGGGCTCACCCCCCATCAGCTCCAACACTTCCCTGGGGACAGAGGGAGGAGCAGCTGCCACAGGGGGCCACAAGCTATCCAGACTTGGACTCGCTAGGCTCAGTCCTTTGGACTTGAACTTGAGTCTCAGATGAGACTTGGCAAGAGCCTGGCTCGGAGCTGAGCATCTCACCTGTATCCTCTGACCGGATCTTCCCCAACTTACAGCTGTGCCAAGTGGGGTGCCAGGCGGGGCGGGCAGACAGCTCTCTCCATTTTTGTTTGGTCACAGAGCTGGTGGGAATCTAATGAAAGCCATGGACACGTTTCCTACAAAACCACAAATGAACGTGCAACAGTCCTTCATGGGGTGTCCCAGAGGAGTCCCCCCAACTGTGGATGAGACTTTGGAAAAGCATCGTGTCTGTGGGAACACATAGACCTTTGTTGCCATGATCTCCTGAACAGCACGGAACGCCAGCTGTTCACACAACACGTGGACCGTGGTGGGGACCACGAGCCACCGAGAGATGACTGAAAGTGCGCGGGGGTCGTGCACAGGTTACGTGCCAAGCTAGGCCACTGTGAGAGAGGTGGACACATATGAACTTTGGGGTCGGTGGAGCAGGGTCTGGGAACCAACCGCCCCAGGGGCTGAGGGACAACTACTCTTTGGACACAGTCTCAAGGGATTCAAAGATCAGGCAGTCCCCCTGGGGACCAGCGGGGGTCTCCAGAGGCTCTGGTGTTGGTCTTTCCTGGAGCATGGACAGTACACTCCAGCAGGCTGGGCCTCCTTCATCCTGCAGATGAGCCAGATGGGCAGAGGCTTTCCCACCAGAGCCAGCAAGACACAGCAGCACAGGGCTTCAGACATGTCAGGGTTCAGTCCCCAGTGCCACCTCCCAGTTGTGCCCCAGGCCCTGCCCCCTAGTCTTGCTGTGAGGGGCACGGGAGGGAGGGATGGCCTCAAGGGTGTGGGCTGAGCGGTGGACCTCAGCTGCTTCCTCTGTGGCCCTTGCCGTGATCAGGAACACACACGTCAGCCACTCTGCTACTTGCTGTCTTTGGGGAAAGTTCCTCCTACAAAATGGGAGGCAGGGAGGCCACGGAATGTCACAGCTGAATGTCATGGGGCTGGGAGGGCAATTTGGATGTCAAGGTACCAAAAACTGAGCAGCAAAGATCCTGATGAGGAGGGAGGTGGCAATAGTGAACCTGATGCTCGAAAACTTACTGGTGAACTTTTTGGTGAATAAAGTTGTGAAGAGCAGGAAGCCAGGAGGCTGAGAAGAAAACGGTCAGGGTGCCACCATCCTGGGGACACAGCAACGGAGGCCAGGGCTCGCCAGGCTCCTGTGGGGATGCCTGGAAGGGTGCCCACTGGCAAAGGGCACCAAAAGCCTAGCCAGTCCATAAAAGCATCACAAGGCCTATCAAAAAGCATGGCCAAGAGGAAAAAAATGGACAACAGCACAGACCGCAGACTACTCAGTGGTCGGTGTCACCACAGAGGGACTGAGCCACTTAGGAAGGGGATGATGACAGAGAGAATCTCACTAGGTGCCCGGAACCTACTACAGAGCAGACATTTTAGAGCTGAAAAAAGCAGTGACTAAAATTAAAAAGTTAGTAGATGGGCTCAGCAACAGAAGGAAATTGATTAAAGGGGAAAGAGGATAGAGAATCACAGGAGGGGAATTCAGAGAGCACACGAAACACCCCTGGAACAGGGGGCCCTCTCTACATGCCCAGCTGGAGCTCGTGGAGGGGCAGAGGGGGCAGAGAGGGCAGAGGAGGAGCAGTATTTGAAGATATAAAGATGGGGGATTTTCCAGGACGGATGGAATAGATGCGAGAAATCAAGTCATAGGTGGAAAATCTACAAATGCCAAATAGGATCGACCCAAGGGAAAGCGGTCCAGGCATACTGTGTAGAACTGCTGCAAACCAAGACAAGAGTCTTCAAAGTATCCAGAGAGAAAAGCAAATCACCTCCCAAAAGACAACGAGATTCCTCTGCAGAAATGCTGAAGTCCACAAGTTGGTTGAGTGGCATTTTTATGGCATTGAAAAAGGCTCCTCAGCCGTGAAGGGGCCACGTCAGGGCTGAGCTCTCGTGTCTGCTCATGAAGACTTTGGGCAACATGGAGAAGAGGAGCACGGATTTGCACCTCTGTGTCTGTCAGTGCACAGCACGTGTGTACACAGTGGACATGAGAGAGGGAAGAGCTGCCCAGGGCACCCAGGAGGGCTGAGCAGTCAGTGTGGTGTGCACAGTTAAGCTCCCAGTCCTGGCTCTGCCACTTAGTGACGGTGTGGTGACTCACCTAGGTGTCAACTTGAATGGGCCACCGAGTGCCCAGACACCTTGCCCATGCACACTTCTGGATGTGTCTGTGGGGTTTCCGGGTGAGATTAGCATTTGAGTAGTAGGCTGAGTAAGGCAATTGAGGGGGCCCCTTTTGTCCCTTGAAGATCTGGATAGATCAAAAAGGCTGAGCAAGAGGGAGCCCGCCTGCCTCCCGCGAGGGCTGGGGCGCTGGCCTTCTGCCTTCTGACACGCGTGCACGTCAACATCCTGGGGCTCCAGTTTGACTGCAGATGTTGGGGCTTGTCAACCTGCACAGTCGTGGGAGCCAATGCCTTATTTCATGGTAGGCATGGAGAAGGATGTGTATCTCCTACTGGTTCTGTTTCCCTAGAGAACGCCAACTTACCTGGGGTGACCTTAGGCAAATTTCTGAACTACTCTCAGCCTCAGATTTCCCTCTGTAAATGGGGATAGGAATATCACTATTCTGCCCTTCTCTCCCGGGGGTTTGTGGAGAATTACGTGTACAGTTTTAGTTGCTCAATAAATACGAGTGGTTGGCCATCCTGGAACTTTAAGTCCCACATAAGTAGCAAAAATAAGTGAAGGTGAAATAAATATGCTTCTAGATAAATAAAAACCAAGACGATTCCCTTCCAACACACCTAAACTGAGAGAAGTTCTGAAGGGATCCTTCAGGTAGAAGAAAAATGAGCCCGAGCAGAAGCACTGGTTATGCAGGAAGCGTGACACCTGGGTAAGACAAGGCTTCTGGGTGAGGTAGGTTAATATCGGCCTCCACAATAACAATCTCTTGGGATCTAGCGCATGGGTGGAATTTAGGTGCCTGGCAACACCAACAAGAAAGGCAGAGGGTGGGGCGTGGGTGGCCGGTCCCGAGCTTTCAGCACTGTCTGGGAGGAGCTGACAGTATTGATTTAGTTTCTACCAGACGGGGGCAGGTCAAGGGTGCATGGTATAATCCCGAGGAAGGGTTAAAACAGAGACGCCAAACGACGGAGATGATAAAGGGAAGAGAGGAGGGTGCAGGGAGGTAGGAAAACTGGACACAAAACCTGGAACAAATGGAGAACAAACAGTAGACGGCGGGTAGAAACCCAAACGGGGAGTAGACATGGAAGAACTGAACCTTCCAACACAGCAAAAGCTGTCAGAATGGGATTTAAAGTCAGTGGATACGTGTCGCCTGCTAGACACACACCCACAACACAGAAGACCCCAGCGAGGCTGAGAGGAGAGAGCAGGAAACACACTCGCGGAAACACCGACCAAAGGAAAGCTGCCTCTTGACTCGGGAGACTGAGGCAGGAGGATCTCAAGTGTGAGGCCAGGCTGGACGATGCAGCCAGACCCCGTCTGAAAAGAAGTTAAAACTAAAAAGGGATGGTGGTGTCGCTCAGTGATAGAACTACCCTGAGTTTAATTCCCCAGTACCATACACACACACACGCACACACACACACACACGCACACACACACACGTGTATGTATTTATTCACACATATGAATAAATAGATACAAAATATTTATAAATTAAAATGAAGAGGATCATTTGAAGATAATAAAAGAGTTATACCACCAGAAAGCTATAACAGATTTTTATTAATTTAATTATATAACTTTAAAATATGTAAAGGAAAAATGGCTAAAATAAGAGAAAAAATAGAAAAATACTTTTTTTCTATAATAAATAGATCAAGCAGACAAAAAAAATCACTATAAATAAAGATGAG